GACCCGCCGAGCGTCCCTGCGGCTGCCGAACGAGCCGGGAGGAGGAGGTTGCTTGGGGCTGGCAGCCAGCCTCGCGGCCGCGCGTGAAAATACGACGCGGTTACCTGCCGTGGGCTCAGACGCTTCCCGCCGGCGCCGCTCTCCTGGCCAGAGAGGGAGCTACGCGAAGGCCGAGAGCCGAAGGGCCTAGTGACAGCTCCCAGTGTGCACCGCGCACGCCCACGCCGGCGTCGACGTCTAAGGCCCTCGGTCCCCGCCCCCAGGCCGCTCCAGACCTGCTGGCGCTGTTACCACAGCGCCCACAAGTGGCCATTTGTAGAAAGCGGCCACGACTCTATTGGAATAGAAGGGAAAGGTGTTTTAACAGGTGTTTTTAAGTTTCATTTTGATGGAGCGTTTGGAAGGATAAGAATTAAAAATAGCTTAGAATATAACTGGGCAGTATTTAAAGAATGCCTTAACATTTTAGATGAGCAACTTCAGGCTCAGAGTACATGTGTGAAGTTAGGAGACACACGATTGGTATCACATTTGGCACAACTTTGAATGTGGAGCATTTTCATCCTATCAAGCTGCTCCAAGGAGAACTGCGCCGCTTTCCCACATCATAGAATAAAGCAAGTGTTTACAAAGGTGTGACTAGAAAATAGCACAGTATTTTAAACTGAGAGAGCATGCTGTTCTAAGAATACTGTGTATTTTAATATAAAATGTATTTAAGCACTTGAAAATCTTGCAGTTTAAAAATTGAGGATATGAAGAACTGAGATCACCTTTCAAATAGGTGAAATGAAACAAAATAACAGTTAAGTGAGGTTTCTGTAATTATTTCAATTACTGCATTAGAACAAGAACTTCTTCAGCAACAATCAACTTTTAAAAAATTCCAAATACTGGTTTTGGAAAAATTGTCTGAAACATGTGTCTACAGAGTATTTACAGTATTTACTTATAATTGCTTTAGCTTTATGTGGTGGTGCACACCTGTAGTCCCAGCAGTGGAAGGTTAATGCAGGAAGATCACTGTGAGTTTGAGGCCAGCTGAGCTATATCATGAGACCCTGACTCAAAAAACAAGAAAGTAAACAAAAATTTTACAAAGCTTTATGTTTGGTGTCTGGGAATCAGTAATCATAGCTTTGAAATAATACAGAACATCAATAAGCAGAATTTTCTTTATCAAGCCATCATTTCAAAAATATTCCTTTGTTTTAAAAGAGGTATATTGTAATTTTACTGTGTCCTTATATTTTTATTTCTCCACTTTAAATATTTACATTGTACCAGAACCTTTTCTGTGTCAAACTTTCAAAAATTATCTTGTAATAGTGATGACATTATGATTTCTCTGAGTCAATTTTTGCCTCTGAGAACAGCGGGACCGTACATCTATCATTAGTTTCATGTTCCCTTTTTTCAAAGGTGAATCATGAGTCCTGTAATTCAAGATCCAAGACTTCAGTCACACTCTTCTACATTGGTAGCCCAACATTTCATTACGCTGTTTCAGTTTTGGAGGTACTACGTCTAAATTGAGAAGCAACACTGAATCAGTCCTTGGTATTTCTGGCCTCAGAGCTTAACAAAGACTCTAGTTCTTTAAAAAGGGACGGAGGTAGAGCGTCACTGTAGGGAATTCAGCTCTTGCTCCTCCAGAGTACCACCTGTGTTGCCTCTACTCCATTGTCTCGTCCCTGCCCAAGCTAGCCAAGGAGGTGTGCTTCAGTTTGCGTTTAAGATCTTTTCCAGGGAGGCTAAAGCTCCAAGTCAAGATCCCAAGAGGCAAGAATTGAGGACGCTCAGCATTCCTAGCGCTCCAAGCCAAAGCCGGGTTTTGAAAGCGGTGCCCTCCCCCCGGCCCAGAGAAGGCGGCGCGCTCTCCGCCCGGCAGGCGGCGCTGTCGGGTCCCGGCGTCAGCT